TGTACGCAAACGCAAAGGATCCTGCGGTTTTACGTGAATCTGAGATTTTAGGAAAAGTGTAGGTACCTTTTCCCTGAGTTTCCAGCAGGTACAGTAGCCCATTCAAATTAGCAGCAAATGAGCAGCTAGGCCAGCAATGGGCAAACTACGGCCCGCGGATGTGGCTGTCAGGATGTGTGTAGGCGGGGCAGCGTGACGAACGTGAGGGGAGGGGAGCTAGGCTCCTCTCACAGTCCGCCCTGAAGACCGGAACGGCGCGGGAACACGGCGAGAGGAACGCGCGGAGCAAAGGTAAGTGAATTGACACAGGGGGGCCTTGGGGACTTAATATGGGGGATGAATTAATATGGGGAATGAATTACTATAGGGGGGATGAATTACTATGGGGGATGAATTACTATGGGGGATGAATTACTATATGGGGGATGAATTACTATATGGGGGATGAATTACTATATGGGGGATGCATTACTATGGGGAATGAATTACTATGGGGGATGAATTACTATATGGGGGATGAATTACTATATGGGGGATGAATTACTATATGGGGGATGAATTACTATATGGGGGATTAATTACTATGCTCACTATGGGGGAATATTACTATACTTACTATGGATGACACATACACATCATTCATCTACTCTTGGTCCGGCCCCCGGGTCCAATATATGAACCCATTGCGGCCCTCAAGTCAAAAAGTTTGCCCACCCCTGAGCTAGGCTGTGATGCACAGTAATGTGTTGCAATCTGCTATGCTGGGGAAAAAAAAAAAAATAGCACATATCCTACTTTTTTCAGTACACACCATCGAGGCGCAGTGGTGTGAACTGAACCTATGGGACTCAGGGTAAATTGCTTTGTCCATGCATTGGGACTGCATTGGGCAAGGTTGCCTGCACAGCCCAAAGCATATGATGGGGAAAAAGCTCTAAATCTTCTATGGAGCTTATTTATCTTCACTAGTGTTATACAGAACACCATGAAATCAAACAAATGTTGTAAAGCTTAACGCATCCTTATATCCATGAAATGATGTTTGATAAAACATGGTCAATATCATTTTGGATACAATGAGTAGAGTGAGGCTGAAACATGGTTCTTAATTAAAAAGCTCAACCGCCTAATTAAAGTTCAAGAACTTTAATTTCTTACTTTTGTGTGCAATTCAAATTGATTTTTTAATAGCGTATAAAGTTGAAAGGACCAACGGGAATGAACACACCATTCTGCATTTGAAATTCATCCTCCTCTCCTTGTTAAGTGCTATTTTTCCACATTCGCACATATTATCTTCCCAAGGATTTTATAAATGCATAGTGCCTTTATCACAAGCTTTTCTATGAGAAGGTTTTACCTTCCTTCACTCTCAACAGCATCTTAATCATAGATACACTGGGAGGGAGCACCAGTCAGTGACTAAAAACATTAGACCTTGCCCTGTATAACATACAACAGAACATAGGACTAGAATTGCAAATCTTGGATAATCTTTTCATACATCCTTCATTTACTAGGTATAGGAATAAAATAAGAATTTTGACTACAGGACACAGGCAGAGTATCCATAAACCATGGGTTATTGGTCTGTATCTTCAGCTGATCAGACACTGGCAAAGCTTTAGAACAGGGGGTCAGCAACCTCTAGATCGTGATCTACCAGTAGTTCTTGACCAGGTGACTGGTAGATCGCAGTCTGGGCTTGTTGAACCGCCATCCCAGAGAATCAGAGTGCGAATCAGAGGGACTACTTGTAAAGCTGGAGCTGTAGTAAGGAGCAAGAGCCACATAAGCCAATGCCTCTTTTGTGTGCTGGCCCCTGTCCCATGCAGAGTGACACCAACTGCACTCCACCTCTTATCCTGGCTAGCGGCCCCAGAGTGGTGCCTGCAACAGCAAAGAAGAGATCCTTAGGTCAGTGTGAAGCAATATACTGGGTTTGGTGCAGTTTCTGAAAGTGAACCAAAAAAACAACTAAATTTACCTACGAACACCTATACTAGCACCTAACTAGGAGTGTGCTACATTTGCTAAGTGTCTCAACTGCAGGGCTTTACCATCCCCCAACTTTGCGTGCAAACGAGCGCTGAGGGTGCCACTGCCGAATGCAACTAAGGGCTCATTTACAAGTGCAGCACTGCTGCTCCTCTGAAAAGCAATCAGAGTGTGTTTGACAGATGGTGATGAGGCGATATGTTGCCTCCTCACCACCTGATATAATACGTATGAATGCTGTGCAATGCACATAACTGTGACATGGTAGTACGGCAATTAGAGGTTTAAATCAGGCATGAGGAGGCCACACTGTACCTGGTGATCTTTGACTTCTACTATGTTGTTCAGGTAGATCTCCAACTCTTTAAGGTTGCCTATCCGTGCTTTAGAGGATACACCCCTTGGTGGCCGCCCCTATAACCATACCCCACTTCATGAGTCCTCAGTTTGTAGCAAGCAATGCAATGTAAACCAAAAACTCCCTGGGATACGAGGTGGTTTGGGGCATTATCACATTTAATTGTCCTAGGGCAGTTTTTGGTTGATTTGAAAAATGAAATTGGTGAGGTGGTATAGTGTTATACTCTATTTTGCACCCCTTTGAAACCACAAATTGAACGCACAGCTCTGGGATGTCTGTGACCCAGAAAGAGGCAAACTGTAACAGATCCCCCCCACTCATAGGAGTAGGGGGGCGCTCCTTTATTGTGAAGAGGATTTCAGGGAAGGCTTGGTGGCCTTGAAGGGTCAAGCCTTGTGCTGAAAGGAAAGGTTTTGAAGCTGAAGCTTGGTAAGAATGGGCAGGTACTCTGTGTTTAGAGGAGCTAGGGGCTCCTGAAGAGGGTGGTTATGGGACCTTCCAATGTGGAAGTAAAACCTTCCTCCCTTTGATGAAATAAACAGGTCAAGTGCCTCACAGACATCTTTCCTGGAAATCATAGGTGTGAGGCCCGTTTTGCAGGCAGCTTTAGCTTTTCAAGCTTTTAGCTGTAAGATTCTATGCATGTGAACGAAGATTGGAGCCATTCTTAAACTGCTGTGGAAGCACAATCCTGAAATACAAGGTCATGTTGATTGCTCGTTGTCTTAGACCAGTTAAATTTGATATACTGATATAGCAACAAGAGCTAGTTTCAGGGCTGGATGTGCAAGATTAAAGAGAGCCTTTAGGAGCATCTCAAACTTTTTCTGCAGTCTCTTTGGAATAAGGAACATGTTCAATAAGAACAATGAGATGTTTGTTTAGGACAGAGACAGCAGGATCAACCACAGGAATAGCCAACTTCTAGCTGAACTGCACAGCACTCCATAAAGATTTTGGGGAGAGTGAAAATTCTTTCAGGAGTGACGATGTCATCATAGATTGCACATTCTATCTGTTCACTGCATCTCTCTTCTGTAATAGATAGCCCGCCTGTTTGCAGTTTTCAAATATTCGATTTTAAGTATAAGGTTTAAAATCCTTGTGAAGGTTATAGCATCTATAAATGCGGTATATATACACTAGAATTTTTTATTTTTTTTTGTAATACTAGTAATGGCAGCGATCAGCAACTTCTAGCAGGACTGCGATGGGAATTCTGACAGTGGGTGGGAACTCACACTAATACAGTGATCAGTGCTAATACATAGAATCAATATTGTACTAATGACACTGGGCAGAAAAAGGGTTAATATTTGGGGCAATCAAAGGGTAAAAAAAATAGCAATCAGGGGGTTAATACGTATCTAACTATTGTGTGGGTGCAAATGTGCTACTTTTACTCTCATGTTGTGTGTCTTTCTTCTCTCCCTTGAACGAAAAGGTTCCAGGGAGAGAAGATCCAGCTAGATTTTGGCCTGTATTTACAAATACAAGCACAGCTCTGCTTCTCCATTTGTTGCAGGAGATCAGCAGAGTCCCAGTCTAAAATCATTGGCCGGGACCTGCTGACAAACATGTCCTTCAGGGAATGACGGCAAGGGACAGGGGGGGGCGCATGCATGCGTTCTCCAAACCCAGAGAAACACGGGGACATATGAGTACGTCGCTGCTCCTGTAGCTGCCATCCGTCTGCCGTACATTGCGGGCAGGTGGTCTTTAAGTGGTTAAGTGAAGAGGAACAGTCTACTCAGAAGGCATAAATACATCAAAACTGAAACCATACCAAAGATTGTAACTTGTAATTATCCGACACAACAAAAAAACATTTAAAGTGGTACTCAACTCCCCACCCCACCCATGTTTTTTTCCTCTTACCTGTGGCTCCTGGGTTTTCTTCAAAACACATACTCAACCAAACAGTGGTCCTCCTCACCTGTCTGCCTCCCCTGGGTGAAGGCAGCCAGCCCTGATGACAGGCTGGGCCTGCCTTCTGCCTGCCCCTTGGCCATTCTGTGTGCCAATCCTGCAGCCTCTGGGCAGATGTGCAGGGCCAGGGACACAACCTTCTGGCCTAGGCTGTAAGGAGTGGTAGAGGGCAGGTAAAAAAAAAATAAAAAATTACCTTCAATTCTACTTTGGTGCAGAGGCTTACTGAGGCCTGGTCATCCATATAGACACGGAGCTTGATGGGGATTTACAGACACTAGTTCCCCATCAGGTCTGAGTGACAGCTGGCAGTGGGCAGATCCATAGCTTATAGACAGCTAAGGACAGACAAGTCAAGAGCGGACCTGATGGGGAACTGGAGTCTCAACTTCCCCATCAGACTCTGCTCACTGTAGCATCACTGGTTGCTAGGAGCCAGTTGACTGTTAAATCAACAGTCCTTGATAACCAGTGACAATAAGGGGGTAGAAGTGGCAAATATGCCACCCTGCTACACTGTGAATAGGGACAGGCCACTATACCTGTAGGTAGAGGTAGGCCTTGATTACCTAATTATCTACGAACTGGAGGTAATTATTTTTAAATTTTGTTGCATTAAAACAGCCACTTTGCAAAAGTGGAACTATTAAGAACTACGTGAATCTGATGCACATGGCAGTAAAGTTATTGAAACAGGCAGCAGGGATTTTTTAACCACTTCCCGACCGGCCGTTGTATATAAAACGGCCGGATGGTGGCACTGCAGGGTCGGGTGGACGTTTATAAACGGCCCCCTCAAACCCTGCTTGTGCGCGCTCCCCGGGAGCGCGCAGCACCGCGCTCCGGTGCCCACTGTGTCCTCCGAACACAGTGAAACACCCGTCATCGGACGGGACCTCTGAACGAGGTCCCGATCATGTGATGACTGATTGGCCAATCAGTGATCACATGCAAAATAGTAAGCAAGATGTCACTTCTTTCATCATTGCTTACTACGTGTGAAATCTGTTAATGATCACAGAGGTCACATGGTACAAGGCTATTCACAACAGCCTTGTACCATGTGACAAGCTGTGACCAATTACAGCTCACTCAGTAGTTCTCAATAGCTGCAAGAATGCAGACAGAGAGAAAAGAGAAATGATTGCTTTTAAATCCTATATGGGTATTAAAGCAATCAGTGTACAAAAAAAATATTCATCACCCCCCAAAAGTAGTACAGTGTCACCATGGTGACACCGTACTGCTGGGGTGACAGTATGTAAAAAAAAAAATAATAAAATAATTTTAAAAAAAATGTAAAAAAAAATGTTTAAAAGTTATAATTTTTGATTATAAACTAATTTGGCTTATTTTATTTTTTACTAAAAAGATAACGGAATAAATTTTGGCCAAGAGTTATGATGAAATATTATTTATTTGCAAAATATTATAAGAAAAAAACACTTTTTTTCAAAATTTTTGGACATTTTCATTTACATAGCAAAAAAAATAAAAATCCCAGCGGTGAATAAATACCAGCAAAATAAAGTTTTATCTGTCTCAAAAAAATGGTAAAAAATTCATATCGGTACAGTGTTGCATGACCGCGCAATTGTCGTTCAAAGTGTGATAGCGCTGAAAGCTGAAAATTGCCCTGGTCAGGAAGGGGGTAAAAGTGTCCGGACTGGAAGTGGTTAATCTGACACGGGCCATTTTAAAGGGCCATAAAGTTGGTAGTGCTTTTCACATTCCCCCATATAGGTCTAAAATATTCATACCATTCGTCTTCTAATAACTGACTTGTATGTGTTAGCTATTTTGCACTGTATATTTAGAAATGAAAGCTGCCAAAGTCATTTAGGCAACAGTACCACATATTTAAAAATCAACCACCTCCTTACTAATATAATTACCCTATAACACAATCAACACCTTCCCCTGAAAGTGTACCAAACTATATACGTGACAGTGTTATTTAACAAATGCTCCAAAAACCAATTACAATCACATTAATACCCAATTTTTCCATAGAGTGAATCCACTACCAATATATAGTCCACTATAAATCTTATGCAAATACGCTAAAATGTCCCATCAATTCTTCCAACGATATTCCAAAAAACAGTCCACCTCAAAAAAAGGGTGGCTGCGGGACACAGCAGAGGTTCCTGAGTGGATCAGCCTGTGGAGTTCCTGGATTACTATAAAGCCTATTATATTGGGAAAGTTGGTAAGGGTACCCTTACTGCATTTAGAAGTGTACACACTTTTAGTATTGGAGTTTTTGTGATGTGGCACTGAAATAGTGTTATGTACACTGAAGTGGTTTTTCACTGATCACGTGTGGTTCACGCTTTTTTCACTATTTTTCACCCATTTTCACTGTAGGAAGTACAGATAAAGTTTTTATATATATAATTTTAAAAAGGATAATGCACTATATGAGTTTTTCTTTTTTTTGAGGTGGACTGTTTTTTGGAATATCGTTGGAAGAATTGATGGGACATTTTAGTGTATTTGCATAAGATTTATAGTGGACTATAAATTGGTAGTGGATTTACTCTATGGAAAAATTGGGTATTAATGTGACTGTAATTGGTTTTTGGAGCATTTGTTAAATAACACTGTCACGTAAACAGTACCACATATGACTTTAATGCGTAAATGTAGTCCCTTAACTAGTAACCCTGTCAATAATTCGGTTGTTACAAATAAAAAATCCTGAGTCTGGCAACCAGTGACCCCAGTAGCTCCCTAAATAAGAATGAGAGAGCCAATCTAGAAGAAAAGAATTGCGGTGCTGAAAGGACAACTCCCCAATCACCCTGGGAAATAGTTTTCAAAATGGAACAGGACTGCTGATGAAGCAAATACAACAAGGGTCATTGAAGTCAGAAAGAGAACCATAGACCTTCTCATTTTATCGTCTTTATTTTTTCATGCTACAATAAAAATGATATTGCTCTAAAGAACATCTGCAGGAAAAATACATGAAAATTCCATAGTCCATTTATGAAAATCTTTAGGTTATTTTAAGTTGTAAAATTATGTGAGAATGTAAACAGTTTAATATACATAAATACTTGTATCAATGCAAAATGGAAATGTTTTAACAACTCTTGTATCTTTTTACAACTTTTACAGCAGAGCAATACTTACATTTTAGCTACAGGCCTATTCATTCAGATATAATTTAGTCATTTCTTATGATACTGAAGTAATACATATTTTAGGGGATAATTAAAGCGGTATTAAACCCAAAACAAAAAAACATAATATATCACAGCTTACCAATCATTAGATGTGCTAACTGCATTAGTTTTCTTTTTTTCAAGCTTTTTTTCCCCCTCTATTTTCACCAGGTGATATGGCCAGTAGCACAACTCCTGTAATAGAATGACTCCACTCTGGATGAAGGATCACAGGGGAACCTTTGGACAACAGCATTGTTAACCTGGGAGGGAGGGAGTTGTTCATTGCACTAGCACAGGGGTGGGCAAACTGCGGCTCTCCAGCTGTTGTGGAACTACATTTCCTAAGAGGCATTGCGACATTACAAAACTGACAGTTACAGCTATGACTTGCAGAGGCATGACGGAACGTGTACTCCTGCAACAGCTGGAGAGCCGCAGGTTGCCTACCACTGCACTAGCAGATTTAGATACACTAACACATTGAAGCTGAATGCCAGCTAATACTTTATAATCAGTTACAGCAAACAGCTTTTTTCCTTTTGGGATAACGGTATTCCATAAATAAAAGCTGGTCATTGTAAGCATCCGTGTCAGTGGTTTGTATCAACCCTGCAACTGCTACATTGGCAATACAGCTTGTTCTGTTGAAAAACAAACTTACCGGCCAGATAACCCGGTGCAAATAGAAGAAAAAAAAAAACGTATAAAAGAAAAGGAATGCACCCACCACATCTAAGAATTGAAGCTGCAATATAATAAACGTTAGCTTTTGGGTTTAATACTGCTTTAAGCCTTTCTTTTGTGCCATGATCTAAAATTTTCCTATCACCAAATCTGTGCCTGTGCATTGACTGGGAAATGTTGAAGTAAATATATACAAGATATGCGCCCCATAACCCAATGGTTGCCAATTCATTAGACATTGTACGGCAGCATCTAGAAATCTGCTCAAGAACTGCAGACCATCAGCATCCTTCCTAAAGCTCATGGTGATATTATTTTACTGCACAGTGCCATGTTTTTAATTAACAAAAGGGAGCAGGTTCATCTTGTAACACTGCATTGCAATAGGATATAGCTGTGCAGTTTCCAACCAGTGCTTTGCTATTCACTGGAAATTGGCTCTATCCCATGTTTTATGAATGGGCAGCCAATGGATTATGAGGTATACATATGGCACTGAATGCAGAGAATTACTATAGAAAATATATATAACTGCAATATTTGTTAATATTTAACATTAGTAGTAAATAACAGGTAGGGAATTGCAGCCCACTATCCAATTAGAGACAAGTCACTGGGACATCAGAAATGCAGCAGGTTTGCATTCAAAGGTGGAAATATAGAGCAGGGGTCGCAAATCTGTGGCCTGAGGGCCAGATATGGTTGTTTGCTACCCTTTATCTGGCCCTTGGGGCACTGATCCTCCCACTGAGGCCAACAATAGGGCAGTACTTCCATTGAAACCAAAGACGGTGTACTATTCTTCTTCCCACTAATACCAATGAAGGGGTACTACTCCTCTTCCTACTGACCATCAACCCTGAGGCCATGTTCATTCTCACTGATGCTGGGATCAGGACATTTTCTGCCCCCGCTGGCCCTCCTAAGGTCTGCAGGACAGGATACTGACCCTTTGTTTAAAAAGTTTGGAGACCCCTGATATAGAGCATAGAGAGAAACATACAAGAGAAACCGTAACAAATAGAGATCATGTTTGATCTGGGGATAGTATAAATGAGATCAATATTTTGGCAGAGCATGTTGCATGAAGATCTTCAAACGTCACCATGGCTCCTTTTACCAACTTCTTGCAATTATAGTTCTTCCTATTGGCTGATGCCAGCCCAGAGAAAAGATGAAACTCCAGCCAACAAGATAAGAAAGGAATGAAGGAAGTGGTCGATAAACAGGAGACCGAGTTTATTGGCATCCTTGATGTAGACAGGGGTGTCCAACCCACGGCCCAAGAGTGTTAAGCATGCGGCCCAGGGACTGTCTGGAGAGATGCCGTAAAAGTATAGCAGCCACAGTGCCCAGCACAGACAAACAAGGCCCATTCATGTCTGGAGGGGTGCCGTGTTTGCAATAGCAGATGCGGCGGTGGCAGGCATGGACTACAAGCCAAGCACAGGCACACCGGGAGGGATGCTGGAGCTGCCCTGTTTGCAACAGCATCGGCAGCAATGAATGCAGTGACTCTCTGCTAGCTCCAGGCAAGTAAGTGCTTCATGGCTGGATCGAGGGGGGTGCTGGGGTGGGCTTCACCACCCACAACCCCCCCTTCTACCTCCCTACACAGCACATAGTTTAAATTTGATCTGTCCGACTTTTTCTGCTCATCAGCCATCCTTAAACTGTGTAGATACACTTTGTTTTTTTCTGCTGGGTTGAACAAACAAAAAAAAACCAGACAGATCAACATACTAAAGCTACGTTCACACTAGCATTGTGTGCAGGCGGCAGAGAGGCGTTTGGGAAGAGTTTTTACCGCTTCCCAAACGCCTTTGCCAATTCTGCACATTACAGCACATGCTGCTGTTCTAACGGGAGCGTTTGCGTCGCTGCAAAATGAAGCCTCCTATTCTCGTCTATGGTGCCGTTCCGCAAACGCCCGGCCGGCATTTGCGGTGCGGTTGCGACACGGTAACACCACTGCATTATAGGCGCTTGTGGGGCGTTATTAATGCTCGGCAAATGCCTAGCAACCTCCGCTAAACCGCACATGCGGCGTTTGCGGAGCGTTTTCCGAGCATTAAAAAACGCTCCGCAAACGCCGGACCAACGCTTGCCAAACGCTATAGGGGCGTTTGGCAAGCGTTGGTAAAACAGCCAAGTGTGAACGAGCCCTTACAAAAGCAATGTTAGTGTGGCAATCTTCCCCGCTGTACTACTCTGTTCTGACAAGGGGACTGCCACCCCTTCCGCCAGAACATACTGATCACTGCATGCAGCCATTGGCTGCCAGCGCTGA